CTGTCCACTCTATTAGACACTCCTACCTTGCCAGTCCACCTTGTTGGTGTAAAGTCAGAGACGATAGCTCATCTGCTGCTGCACAGTTTGTGTTGGTCATCCTCGAGTCCTTCATCAGTGGTCACAGGATGCTGCCCACAGGACGCTGTTGGCTGGATATTTTTGGTTGGTGGACTATTCTCAGTCCAGCAGTGACACTGAGGTGTTTAAAAATACTAGCAGCACTGCTGTGTGATCTACTCAGACCAGCACAACACACAATAACACACCACCACTACGTCAGTGTTACTGCAGTGCTGAGAATGATCCACCACTCAAATAGTACCTGCTGTGTGAGGGTCCATGGGGGTCCTGACCACTGAAGAACAGGTTTAAAATGGGCTAACAAAGTATGCAGAGAAACAGATGGACTACAGTCTGTAACTGTAGAACTACAAAGTGCACCTATATAGTAAGTGGAGCTGATAAAATGGACAATGAGCGTAGAAACAAGGAGGTGGTCATAATGTTATGCCTGATCAGTGCGTGTTTATGCAGTGAAAAAGTGGCTGGGGAATAGCCTTTCTGCACCTGCACCTCTGCGCTACTGCACATCGCTCCCTAAGAGACCGGCGTGACTACCTGTGTATGTGGAACTTTGAGAAGTGGAACAGCTTGCATGACTTAATGCATACAGTACAGAGCAAAGAGGAGACAACTGCAACACCAGTGACCCATCAAACTAGAACAGCTCAATCTAGACTAAACTGGACTGGATGTAGTTGTAGATATTAGCATAGAGATTATCTGCCTGCACTGCCACCTGATCAATACAGGAATCTAGATGTATCGTCTATGCCGTGATACTGACACACTGGGATACTGCTTTTTAGTTTTAGTGATACATTCATTGCTGGAGCCTAACCCAGCGTTCATTGGGTGGAGGCCACTAGTCCATCGCAGGGCAGACACACAGACATACACTTACACTCACACTTATCTCCAATTGGCTGACTGCATGTCTTTTGTACTGTGGGAGGAAACCCACACAGACACGGGGATAACATGCAAACTCCACATAGAAAGGTCTGCTCTGGTCGCCCGGCCGGGGAATCGAACCCAGGCCCTTCTTGCTGTGCGGCAATAATAATGTATAGTCCACAAAACAGCTAAGCAAGTTGCCAAGCAATTCGTTTTCCTGCTTTACAAGTTATTTTTCTGCTTTACTCGTGGTGTCCAGCAATGTAAAGTATTGTGCAAAAGTCAGAGACCCCTCTCCTTTCATTTGCTTCATTATTTAATTTCCAGTCAAAATGATTATTTAGTACAAGTTATTAGTCTTTTTTCTATTTACTTTTCTCAGTGAGGTTCTTCTTGGCAGCTACACATCCTTTCAGACCCATAGCGCTGAGTCGTCTTCTCACAGTGGAAGGATGGACAGAAACACCTGTGGATGTTTTCAGATCTGAAGCAGCTTGATTTTCTCCTCTCTCTCAGAGATGAAAGCTTTAAGTGCTGTTTATCTGATGGGGGCAGTTCTGGTGTCTACCAGGTCTTTCGGGTGGTTGTTAGGAGCCCCATTTTCTCTGGAGCTTTTAATTAGTTTTTGAACTTCAGGTTTGGAAACCTTTTCACTTATTTTCCTTTGGTTTTCTCCTTTCTTATACAAATGGAATAAATTACAAATAATCTCCACACAAACATCTCTTGAAAAATGACTAGCATTGCAGAACTGTTTCGACTGGAAATTAAATAAAGGTTGCTCTTTGACTTTTGCATGTTGTATCTCATTTGCTGGATGCGAAACAATTCAAAACACATAAAAGTGAAAAATAAAAAGTAAGTTTCCAATTAAACCCAAGTTATTTTCTGTAAATGTGGTTTTTGTAGTGATTGATATGAACAATACTTTGGAAGATTGGATTTGGCGTCTTTTAAGAGAAGCAGAACAAAACGGTCCAATTAAAACATCATGAATATCATCTAGGGATGCACGGGTATATAACATTTCATGTACATATTTGTGGATGCCGATACATAGATTTGTATGTAATAATATGTAATAATTAGAATCAAGTCTACCTAAATTGATTTCTATGAGTTTACAAATACAGTAAAATGATTAAAGCATGGATATTTTACTACGGTAACTCTAGTGTAGTAAAATTAATATGCCAACAAATATTAGTTTACAATATCTGTCAAATCTAAGCATCTGTCTGATGGCAATAATACCAATATCCTCATGCATCCCTAATATCTTAAATATAATCAAATACCATGACACTGTTGGGGCTGAAAGATTTTTTATCAAAATCGCAATTTGGAAGAGTGAAATTTTCAAATTGTAACAGCTATTTTAATATAATACTGATTATAGCCTACACTATGAACAAAATTGTCATGTTTAAGTTAGTGAAGCGCCTGTAGATGAGTTAGACCAATCAGAAACAACCAAACACATCCATGTGTTCAGCGTTCAAGTCTAAAAAAGACTAAAAAAGTGGCTACTCTGACCTTAATTTGTAGAAAATAATCACAGTTTAAAACGCAGTCACAATTAAAGGTGGGTGATATGGAAAAAACAGCAACACAAAGAAATTTTCACGATGCATGATATGCATCATGATAATCTGGCAGACAAAATAATATAATTAAAATAATTAAACAGGACTATGCTCTCTTTCTGATCAAAAATACAGTTGGTCAGTGCTCTTTTAAGTACTGACGATGTCCATGATATGATCAGAAAGGCATACTGTGTATCACGATAAACAAATTATTATGATACCAATAAAATATCACCATATTGCCCATAACTAGTCACAATACTGGTCTGCAAAATTCAAATGACATATTTTCCCCCAAACATTCAGCCCTAGATACAGTGGTACATTTGGTCTTCCAGGAAAACCCCAACAATTTTTCAAAATTTCTACCAAATTAAACGGTTAAGATGTGGACCAAGTCATTCAGTTTGGTTTTTTGTGAAATGCTCCATTCCAGAGAAACCTCCTGGGTCAGAACTGTTCACAGTGGTGGTGATAGGAACCAGACGTCCACCTCTAAAAGGTCACAGGTATTACCATCATCAACATTACACACAAAAACTCAGAAGACTCGTGTAGGTTCACTGGTGCTTTTGGATGGTAATAAAATGGCTATATTTGTGTTGCAGTCATGGTGACTCCTGGTTCCAATCACCACCACTGTAAAGACATCTGACTCTCTACAATGAATCATTTCATGAATGACTCTGTTTACATCTCAACGATGGAATCATGCTAACATTTAGGAAAATTGGTGGAATTCCCCTTTAATACTGCCCAGCACTGCCAACCAAATCAACACGTCAATACTAACATTCCTGAGTGAGCTGACCAATTGATTCATCTGCCAAAGAGCAACCAAACAGCAGATCAGCCTGAAAGTATGCTGACCGTCAACAGAGCTGGACATCAGACAGGACGAGCAGCATATTAGAAAGAACAGCATTAGACAAACGCAACCACACAGAGCTGTATCACTCTTGAAAAAGATGGTTCTTTAGTAAAGGCATATAGAACCTCTCCATGCTTAAATGTATATGGTTCTAGATAGTGCCAAAAAGGGTTCTGATATTTTTTACAAGCTTGAAAACAGCAGAACTCTTTTTGGTGCTACCTAGAACCATATACATTTAAGCATGAAGAGGTTCTATATAGATCAGCTAGAACCAACTTATTTTCAAAAAGGTTCTAAATAGAACAGCAGAGGCCTGCTGGTGATATACCATATAAATAATAATAATGCATGAACATGACTTGGTAAAACATGGGAATGAGATAATTAAGTTGTGGCCATGACTTAGTAAGGCGTGGGAATGAGATTCTAATGTATGACCATGGCTTAGTAAGACGTGGGAATGAGATAATTAAGCCTTAGTCACAGCTTAATAAGGCATGATCCTGTTCCCACGCCCTACTAAGTGGTGGCCACAACTTAATTATCTCATTCTCATGCTCCCAAGTTGTGGCCATGCATTATTGTTATTTATACAGTATATCTCCAGCAGGGCTCCGTAGTTCTATATAGAACATTTCTGAAAATGGTTCTGTATAGACCCAAAAAGGGTTCTGATATTTTTACAAGCTTAAAAAAAGCAGAACCCGTTTTGGTGCTATCTAGAACCATATATATTTAAGCATGAAGAGGTTCTATATAGATCAGCAAGAACCAACTAATTTTCAAAAAGGTTCTATATAGAACCGCAGAGCCCCGCAGATGACATCCTGTATAAACAATAATAATACACCGACACGACTTAGTAAAGCAAGGGAATGAGATAGTTAAGGTGTGTCCACGACTTAGTAAGGTGTGGGAATAAGATAATTAAGCCTTAGCTACAGCTTAATAAGGCATGACCATGTTCCCATGCCCTACTAAGTGGTGGCCATGACTTAATTATCTCATTCCCAGGCTTTATACGGTATGTCTCCAGCTGGGCTCCACAGTTCTATACAGACCCAAAAGGTTTTGGTGCTATCTAGAACCATATATATTTAAGTCACCAGCAGGGCTCCGTATAGAACCATAGACAACACATTCTCCATCAATCTAAAGAACCATTTCACCATGCAAAGAACCAGGTAAGCATGCAAAAGATTCTATATAGAAGTCCTGGTTCTAAAGTTATATCAGTCACAGTTCTATATTACTGACTAGTGACTAGTATTATATCATATCTATATAGTATTATTTCAATATCAGATCAATATATCGAACTAGTCCCACCTTCTCTCACTTGTAATCAGTCTTCCACACTCATGCCAGACACCCCCGCGCCTCTCCTGGCTTTACTGAATCATAACCCTGAAACTCCGCAGCAGCGGACCGAGTCCGGCGGCCAGGCCGAGTCAGAGGCGTTTTAGTCCGGCCACACAGACCCGCAGCGCCGTGCTGCTGCCGCCCCCCACCCACACACCCAGAGCACGGTCAGCGGAGAAGCTCAGCTCTCCCCACTGCCAAACTGAAGCACTTACAGAGGCAAACTCGGTGCGAACGCTGGTCCTCTCCCTCTCCACCCTCTCAGCCCATCTCCCTCAAAACTTCCTCACAACAGCTCTCTCTGGGCGGAGCGCAGAGGCCCCGGATGTAGCCGCGCACAGTACCATGGTAAATGTAGTACTGTGGAAGTCTACTCTTAAACAGCCTTCCCAATGGGATGGGATGGCGTCATGATGCACAGTGGAAACGTGTATCGAGGTCTTTCTAGTCAACCTTTCAGAGTGTTTAATGATTGTTTAATGTTTAATGACGAGGAAAAGGACCATCCAGATTGATACCTGCATAAAAAGTTCAAAAGCCAGTGTTTGTCATGGTGTGGGGGGTCATTCAAATTCTAACCCTGACCACTCATAACATTAAACCCACCTCCTTGTTTCTACACTCTTTGTCCAGCTCCACTTACAGCAAAGGAGCACTTTGTAGTTCTACAGTTACAGACTGTAGTCCATCTGTTTCTCTGCATGCTTTGTTAGCCCCTTTTACCCTGTTCTTAAGTGGCCAGGACCCCCACAGGACCACCACAGAGCAGGTACTATTTGGGTGGTGGGTCATTCTCAACACTGCAGTAACACTGACGTTGTGGTGGTGTGTTAGTGTGTGTTGCGCTGGTACAAGTGGATCAGACACAGCAGTGCTGTGGGAGTTTTTAAACACCTCAGTGTCACTGCCGGACTGAGAATAGTCCACCAACCAAAAATATCAAGCCAACAGCGTCCTGTGGGCAGCGTCCTGTGACCACTGTTGAAGGACTCAAGGATGACCAACACAAACTGTGCAGCAGCAGATGAGCTATCGTCTCTGACTTTACATCTACAAGGTGGACTGACAAGGTAGGAGTGTCTGATAGAGTGGACAGTGAGTGGACACAGTGTTTAAAAAATCCAGCAGCACTGCTGTGTCTGATCCACTCGCACCAGCACAACACACACTAACACACCACCGCCACATCAGTGTCACTGCAGTGCTGAGAATGGTGGTCTCATGGGGGTCCTGACCGTTGAAGAACAGGGTAACAAAGTATGCAGAGAAACAGATTTAATTGTAGAGCTATAAGTGCTCCTATATGGTCAGTGGAGCTGATAAAATGGACAATGAGTGAAACAAGGAGGTGATTTTAATGTTATCACTGATTAGTATATATTTACAAGGCATTTCACAAAGTAAAACATCAAATATCTTCTTTTTGTACTGTTTCAATTTGAATGCAGGTCAAACAGAGCAACTAATCACTGCTTTCTGTTTTAGCATTTCACATTCTGTCCCAACATTTTTGGAATTGAGGTTTGTAGAAGGCGAGTTGTCCTCTGTCATTTGTCATCTGTCATGGCATGAGACGTCTGCTACCTTCATTTGCTCTCAATCATTTGCTCCCTTTGCTGAAAACTTGTTAGCAAGCTAACTAAACCAGCTTTGCTGGATGAAAAGGATACCCACCAAGCCTTCTCACGGAAACTTGTTGCTTAGCTAACTTGTACTACAAATACATAATTAAAATGTAACTTTATCCAGCATTATCTGAAAGCAATTTGATCTTGCACTATCTTTCAACGTGCCATCTGTTTCATTTCCTCTGCGTAAGGTGTACTTGGTGGGACGCAGGGGCAGGAAAACCACAAATGTGTGACTATGATCAGATAAATAGTGCACCACATAGTGCATCAGCTATCTTGCAGCTGTGTTTCAATTGTGTATTACTTATCTTCCCTATATACAACATACAGGGTGATTAAAAAAAATTCATCAGATTTCAAAATGTTTTTTTTCATTTGTAAATCATTACAGAACAATGCAGTAAACTGTAAATGGTTTAAGTGAGCAGAATGTTTATTATGTAATTTTACAAGTGCTTAATATGAACCTCCTCCACGGACAACATCAACGCCATAGTCAAATTCATCCTGTACTCGATTGAGCGTGTTGAGTGTTGCTGCACTCACAGCTCTTTCAGTGTGATTTCGGAGATCCTCCACTCTGAGCTGTTGGAGGTTCACCTCCGACGAAAACAAACGTTGCACAGTTATGACGGATTCACTCTTATTGAAGTGGAGAATGCAAAGCGCTTTCTGCTCAGGGGCCTCCATCTCCTCACAGACTGAAGGGAGCCATCTTCCACTGACAGTCAGAAACTCTATGACCCCCTCTTTCAATTGGATTGTGATTGGTTCCTCGGTGCCTCACAGTTGTAAAAATATGTTGCTTTGAAATAGGATGAATCTTTTTGAATCACTCTCAGTATTTAGATGGCCCAATGCCAAGCATTGGCTAGGGGGGTATAACCCCCCTGCCCCCAGCATGGGCTTTGGAGCAGTGGAACTGTGTTCTCTGGAGTGATGGGGCTCCATCCAATACCTTTTCGATGAGTTGGAGTGATCCGGAACTGATCAGTACCTGACCTCACTAATGCTCAATCAAATCCTCACAACAATGTTTCAACATCTAGCATAAAGCCTTCCCAGAAGAGTAGAAGCTAATACTGCAGTGAAAGATGGACAATTTCAGAAAACTCTGGTTTCAGATACAGGTCAGCACTCAAAATGTTTGAACCTATGACTGAATAGGGTTTACCCCTGATTTTACCACATAAAAAGATTTATGACTAAGATATAGATGTTCTCCACCATGTACAGTCAGCCGTTGCGTCCACTGCGGCACCAAAACAAGGAAACAACCACCAAAGTACGGCCTACAAAAATGACAAAAGGAAATAACCGTGGCTGTACTGTATCATTTGAGAGCCTGGGGAAATTCCCAGACTCGCAGTCAAACTCCCCCTCATGGCCATTCTCTCTGAGACAGCATTTCCCTGTCAGAGCCTGTGAAAGCTCTTTGTGCTGAGTTCAGTGACCTTGGGTGAGCCAGCAAAGTCACTGAAGAGAATGGACCACCGCAAAGCCCATGACCTGAAAGTTGGCTAGTGCTGAAATGAGGAGACGTCAAGGAGAAGTCAGAGCGAGTGATGGCGGTCAGCCCGGTCACTTCTGTGACTGATACTTACTGTTATTTTTAGCAGCTATCCTGTTTTAGTGAGTGTCTGTGCTCATCAGGAAGCTTCCACTTGAGTTCCATTTTTCCTGAGGCAGTTTTCCTCGTTTGGGATATGGTGTAACTGTCCCTCTCAGTGGAGACCAAGAGTTAGAGCCATAAAACACTGGCATTATGTAGCATCTGCACAGCTTCTTTTCTTAGGCCACTGTCCTTCTAAATAAAGAACAGTCCTACTTCCTTGTTCTGAACTTGGAAATATGGAGATATGCAATTTAATGCACATATATTACAGTATAGTATAGAGGGGGTGTACAGAATAACTTACTAATACTAAATAACACCCCTTTTAGCAGATATTGCAGCTGGAAAATCCTTTTTAGGGCCAGCTTGGAGTCTTCCTGTTCCTGTTTTAGGAATTTTCATGCATTCTTTCTTGCAGGGCACTTCTAGTTCTGCAAAATTCTTGGGCTGTCTTGCATGCACAGCATGTTTAACATCTAACTGCAAATTTTCAATAATGTTTAACTCTGTGAGGACTGTGAGGGCCATTCCAGAAGCCTTACAGTTCATGGAAGTAGTTCTTGGGGGATTTTGAGATGTGTTTCAGCTTCATTTTCTTGACTTTGTCACATGTGTCACCAGAATTGGGCCAATTTAATGGAAACTCTTCTTCTATCTAATCATGCTGTGCCACTGGCTGCCACACGACCCAAAGCAAAACAGATCCTCCTCATGATTTACAGTTAGCACAGTGTTCCTTTCATCAAATGCTGCCACTTTTTTTTTCCAAACTACCTTTGGTGATTGTTGCAGGTTCTATTTTTACTTCATCAGATAGTCTATCTGAATGTTTTTCTACACTTCAGATGTTGACCTTTATGATGAATATGCAGGTAAGGTTTCCTTCTGATGACTCTTCCTTACAGATCATGTTTGTGCAAGCAACACTTCATGGTAGAATGGTGCACCACCATTCCTGTGTCAGCTGAAACTCCTTGTAGGTCCTTTGCTGTCATATGGGGGTTTTGCTTTGCCTTTCCAGCAAGCATACAAGCAGGTCTAGTTGAGAGTTTTTATTGGTCTTCCAGATCTTACCTTGACTTCGACTGTTCCTCTCAACGGCCATTTCTTAATAGCGTTTCATACAGAGGAAATTGTAAGACGGAAGCACTTTGATATATTTTTATAGCCTTTCCTGCTTTGTAGGCATCATTTAACTTCATTGTCAGATCTTCAGCCTGATGCTTAGAGAACCATGACCATATATGAACTGTATGAACTGGGGAGTGAATAGCATGTTTTGAAACAATGTTTATATACATGAAATTGTTTTATCTAAGAAAGTGAAGTGGTTAAAAAGTGAAGTGGTTTTCCATGATACAGGCATTTTTTACTTTATTTATATGCTTTATAACTGTATACAACTTAAGTATCTATAACGTATTGTATACAGCAGCCATTGCACATCATAAATGTCAACTATCACATGATACTACCTAGCGGGGAGGATGAAGGCACTTGTTTTTTCTGAAACACATGAAGGGCCACCACATCTTTTCAAACTGCCACTAATGCAATGTCATTGGACAGCTCAGCAAGCTTGGTGGGGAGCGTTAAGCGCTAATTTTGTTACGTTAGCTAACTGACACCTGTATTGGCTAGCATTGTGGTGAGTGATAGGAGAAGAGGGAGGGTCATTACCCACCCAGAGAGAGGGAGGTCAGTTCTGTTCTCATAGACTCCACGGATGGTTGTGTCATCACCAGGGATCGAACTTACAATCTCCTGATGGCATGGCCAACTGTAATGGTCATGATTTGATATGATGTAGTTGCCCCTCAGGCATCAAAAAGTGATGGACACACCTGATTTTCACACAGTGACCACTGAACCAGTTTAACCACCTACATATCTCCTGCTTTATGAATGCCAGGATCAGGAACAGGAATGAAGAAAGCGCTCCTGGACCTCTAAACTGGGTCAGGGGTTCTGCATATCTCGACTGTACCGGGACAGTCCAGTCTGAGGGTTGATGTGAAGCTTCCTCAGTGGCAGGCTGCCCGTGTGAAAACACACAACACAGAGTAAAAAAAAAGCGTGTTTCCTTTCCCCTCAAATTGAAAACAATGGGGATGTGGCGTAGTTAAAAAGAGGGGGAAGCAGGGCCCAGGCCTGCTGAGCCAAAGGACGTCAGAGAGCGTTTTGAAGTGGCCATCAGGCGCGCGGCTTGGATCAGGAAGGAGTTAATGTAGTGTACACCAATTACATGAACAAACAATGGTCAGGGGTTTATAATCTCATGGGTTTTTTCCACAAAGAGAAGGAGTCATATGCAATGATAACATGCTGAAACTTCCATATAAAAGTCTGTTGCAATGCTAAATGGGGAAAATCATGGTTACATTATATATTAGGAAACTCCCTAATAACAGTTTGACTGCTGTTACAGAAGCTGATATACACATGCAGACAGACCTCCTGCTAACTTCCTCAAAACGAATCTAGAAGCTGACCGTGAAAGCCACATCCAGAGAGTTTAGAAGTGTCTGGTCTGTTTGGTCTGTCTCAGGATCACAGCTGGGTCTTTCCACATCAGCTGGGGCCTGACAGGTCACCTTATTAAAAATGCAAGTTCTATTTAATTTTAAAATTTCAAACCTTCAAATATTTTAATTATGAATTTTAAACACTTGTTGTAAATCATTAAAATCATTGTTGTAAATTGTTGCAAAACATTTGTAAATTTAAAAATTTGTTGTAAAAAAATGAATCGCTAACAAATCGTTAAAAAATGAACAACACTAAAACAACATTTAAAATTATGTGAATATATAACAACAATTAGAACAATGATATATTTTAAATAAACTAGTTTCATGTTAGTATGTTCACACAACTGGTTAATTTATTGGTATAAAATAAGGAGAGTTGAAGTGGAATGACCCAGAGTGGGCAAGTATGTGGCCAACAGGGTGATGAGACAACTGCTGTGATGGCCAACACAGACATCTCAGTCAGCTTTCACTTCTTTATCTCATAGATTATTAACAACTTCCTTAGAGTTGCATTATTAATATGCACACGGTGTAATTCTTTTGCTTTGTATGATGGATCTCATTACTAACAACCTGCAGAATCTGAGAGAGGAGTCAGTCTGCTGTTATAGTTCAGTGAAAAGTCACGTTTACCGTACTTAGTTATGCTTATGTCCACATTTACAGATAACAGTGCACAATACAGTTTCAAGTCTATTAGAGACTACAACTCCACACGGTTTGAGGTGTGTGATAATTTACGCATGAGTATAAACTTTCATTACTTGTTAGCTACTTATGATGTAACAGTACAATGTATCATATTGAACTGTATTACACACTGCAACCAATGATCTTTTGGCAGATGAAATCATCTTAAATCTAGCCTAAATATCTAATATTTTTCATGTTGACATTGTTGTGAGATTATTCAACTCATTTCCAGACGTTTTAAATGGTTTAATCAGTTATTTCAAGAAATACTGCAGACAGTTTTGCTTTTTTTTATGAAAATTAAACCTCAAGTATCTGGATTGTAGATATTCTAACTAGATTTTAGATTTCACTTGCCAAGATATCATGTTTTGCATCAAAATAGCTTGTGGCTAATGTATTAACTTGAGACTGCCGTATTAGCATGTGTCTAGAGCATTAGATCAGGACACTATAAAGCTCAAATTTTAACATATTAGCATAAGCAGTGTGTAGAATACCCCTGGGATTCAGTCCCATGCTGGAGTAGCCAGCCAACATAGCTGGCTGCTAATGTACTCGCTATAACGACGCTAATGCTAGCTTCAATGGCAACAAAATGTCTGGTTTAAAAATTCTTCTTGTGGAAGTGATCTTTTCTAATTCAGTAATGCCCTCTTCCACACATTTACTCAGATCTTACACATCTTCTCTTTTGTCTTCAGTTTGAGTAATGATTCACTCTATTCACCAAACTCTTGGGGAATTGGGGACATTTTCAGGTTTGCAAATATGCTGCAACACATTGTAAATTTTTTCAGAGGTATCCCAGGCATCCCAGGCAGGTTACAGTTGCTAATCCCTGAAGGACCACATGGGTGAACCAATTTGCTACAGCACCACCCTGAGGCTGGCCAGTGCTGCACCTCTAGTTAGTTAAGAATATTAAAAACAGAAGCTCACTGATTGTAGGTGAAGCAGGTTAAACAAGCCCAGATCATCCAATGGGTATTATGGGCCACTAGGGGGCCACTGCGAGCAAATATGAGAAAATTTAGACAGTTGTTTTGACTCATAATGGGAACTTTACTAACTTCACACCAGTTAAACTTAAACTAACACAATGTCCTAACAACAAGCGATGCAAGAAACAAAACAGCAACAAAACCAAAACACCTCCTTTGCCATCAATAAAGATGGCTACACCAGTTGCGAGCAGCAGAGAGCTATGCAATGACACATCATGTCGCTCTGCAATTCCACATTAAATTGGACAAGAAGAAAGTCTTCCATGAAGTGGAAAAGAGGGGGATCTCTATGACCCTTCCAGTAAACAATTTAAAGAGATACAGCCAGAGTGCTGAAAGTTTGAGGTGAAAACCGTTTGTTTTGTGTTAGATAACTAGCTAGGTTAGCTAAGTAGAGAGTAGCTAGTAGATACCAGCATAACTGAGCTGCGGTAAAATGCTACTTAACCTGTGTTATTTTGACTACTCATGTTAAATGTGGGGATTAAACATAAACCGTTACAAAATCTATTAAAATGTCCCCTGAACCACAACTGCACAAATGTGTCAGTAAATCTTTTGAGAGTTTTGTGGTTTGTTTACATTTTAAAATGACACGCACTTGAACTTTCTGCTGTAGACATCCTGCAGGCCTCACAACGCAATGCAATACTACATTTGAACAGCAGTTTGCTGTTAGGACACAGCATAATTTTGCGTTACGGCTCTCCACGTCTTTCCTAAATGTCAGGTTATTTTTCTCCTCCAGTCACTGCTTAGTAACAGTTACACTGTCCTTCATTATCTTGCTCAAGCTTTCAGGTTTTTAGCAGTGAGCTAGCATTCCTGTGAATGTACTTTGACAATGAAGCTCCAGGTATTTAAAACATGTGCCCGAGGAATCTGTAAAAGCAAGACCTGAAACTTCGACAGAGTAGAAGATGCCTGTTTCCAAAGCCAAATACATAAATGTCAACCCCCAGAGTTGAAAAGTTGATTTGTCCTTGTCGGCAGTGATCTGCGTCATCAGAGGTAAGATATAAATGGAAAAAACTTTCCATGCCTGCTGCGGCAGGCTAGGCTGCTTGACAGTGTGGGGTTTTATGCCCATTTCAGCTGTCCGTAATTGTAAATTGTAAATTGTAATTTATATAATCTTCATTGGCGTTAATGATCTGCTTGTCAAGAACCGATGCATGCTTTATAGGAAAATCTTGCACTAGTTGTTGGGTTTATGTTAACCTGTGTTCTCATTAATGTGGTGCTGCATAGGCCTTTTTTATCTTGATGTGATATCATAACAAATTACTGACCACCCAAAAAAGATAGCCCACCAAACATTTGTGCCCAGGGGCCCATAGCTTGATAATCTGGGGATGAGGTTAAACAATGACCTTTCCCTCAATTTGTATCTGAGCGTCTGTTTTCCCAAACAGACAGCATAACGTCATAATAACTTTGTTTGCAGGGACCCCCAGAATTTTGATTTTGAGACATTCAGGGGGTCCAAAAGGTTAACTGGGTGTATTTCACACCTTCAGTGTAAGGTACATTTCCAGCCCCTCTTTGTATCGAATGTATCAAATTGAGAGACCACTGTATCTTACTGTACCAAACTGAACAATGAACTTTATGAATTGATTGGCCTCGTAGCTTTAAACATGTCTTGGCTGATCGACTACATTCATAGTAAGGGGGGGTGCTGTGTAAACTGGCTGAAATGACCCTGTAATGCTGTATAAATTCCTGAGCATAAGGTCATGTGAAGGCGTCGCTCGCACTGCTTAGATTGTCAGGTCATACTGTTTGTGAGTGGAGCATAAACAGAACACCTGAATAACTCAGTGACCCTGTGTGAGACACTCACATGCAGCAGACGGTCAGACTCTCTCAGTAAGTGGAGTTTCTTGGTTTTGTGATTATGCAATAAGCATTTTAATAAGGATGCGTAATTCATTATTTGCTAGACATGAAAACAATGGCTGTGTTTTATTATTTGAACAAGCAGGGAGGGTGCGGTCACATCGTCATGGCGATGGGAAGGCCAGAGCAAATGTCACATACAGCGGTGTGGAGAGTCCATCAACTGGAAACACCTGAAAGAAGAATTCAGCTATCAGTGCTGGGTGTGTGTGTGTGTGTGTGTGTGTGTGTGTGTGTGTGTTTGTGTGTTTTATATCCAAAATAAAATTAACATCCAGAATGAAGTTCTTATACAATGAATGTCCAAAATAAAATTATAATAAAATGAATATCTTGAATGGAATTCTAATAAAAATTAATGTCCGGAACAAAATTCTAATAGAATTAATATCTAGAATGAAATTCAAAAACAATTGCCATCCAGAATGAAATTAAAATAAAATTCAAATTCAGAATGAAATTCTAATAAAATTAATATCTAGAAAGAAACTCTAATAAAATTCTAAATTCTAATAAAATTAATATACAGAAGTTATAAAAAAATGCCCAGAATGAAATTCTAACAAAATTACTATCCAGACTGAAATTCTAATAAAAATAATGTCCAATTCCAATAAAAATTTACATCTAGAAAGAAATTCTAATAAAATTAATATTCAGAAGTTATAGTAAAATTAATGTGCAGAATGAAATTGTAACAAAATTACCATCCAGAATGAAATTGTAATAAAAATAATGCCCAGAATGAAATCATAATATAATTAATATCTAGATTTAAAACATAATATGATTAATATATAGAACAAAATTATAATACAATTCATATCTAGAATGAAATTACAATTAATATCTAGAATGAAGTTATAAAAATCATATCCTGAAAAAAAGTATAATAGAATTTATCATGAGACTTAAATTTTAGATTTAAATATTATAAGCTAGACCACAAAAAGTACTTTTAGATTGCATTCAATATTTCGGGAAAAACAGTAGGTACTAATCAACGGTGTATTCATCATTCTGGACACATCTAATCAGTTTATTCAGTTATATTCTACTGTATGTGTTTAAAGCGCACCTTGCTCCTGCAGCAGCGCTTGCTGAGGCCGAACACTTGGCTGACCACTCCGCTGCACTTCTGCTGCCATTCTCCTCTCACACAGCTCTGCACTCTGACCTGATAACACACACATCGCTCCGTCCTCACGCTGAATGGCTGAGTGGTCCTACAGCTCTCCGTCAGTGCAGGGTCCCAGTGCCTTAACCTCTACATTGGAGGGGGGGCATGTAAGGTAAGCAAATTAGGCAAATTACAAGAACTCCCGACTAACTAGACAGTGTAACATGGAGACACCTGGTGGATGCAGCTGGAACATCTGCAGCAATGCTACAATGAAGATGGAACAGCTGTATGCATTATCTTAAGCCAGTAGGCTCCAGCAGTGTAGCCAGGAACTAATGAATGTGGTTTCTTTAAAGGGCAATTCCACCAATTTTTCAAAATTTCTGCATAATTTAGTGGTTGAGATGCAAATAAAGTCATTCTGAGTGGTTTGGTGCGAAATGGCTCGTTGTAGAGTCAGTGGTGGTGATAGGAGCCAGGGGTCACCATGACTACAATACAAGCATAGTCATGTTATTTACTATCCAAAGCCACCAGTGAACCTACAAGTCTCTTCTGAATTTTTATATGTAATGATGATGATGGTAAAATAGTGGAAAACCTGAAAAAAAATGTTTTTCAGGGGACTATTTTGCCTTACAACTCCTTGCATGTACCCCTCCACCATGATTGGATTTAAGAAGTATGTCTTAGGCCAAAAACCTTCTCAAAACAATCTCAACATGAGGCAGCATTTAACCATTTCATGTAACAACGTTCACTAAGGACGCTTTTAGAGGTGGACGTCTGGTTCCTATCACCACCGCTGTGAACAATTTCGACTCTAGAAGCTCTCTAGATACACCAAACCACTCTGAATTACTTTGTTTACATCTTAACCACTGATTTGCACATTATGCGCCTGATGCCTGACCCAACCTATCAAAACAACTCTACATTTCACAGTCCATGTCCTGGACAATAGGACTGCATTCATTTGGAGGTGGAAGGCCTTCAGCCTGGCTTTGTACATGTGACATTGGTTAATATGGCGGCTGATGAAAGTGAATGAGGCTGGTAGCACACTAACCTCCATAGAGAAGTCAAACGCATCCGATTGTCCAACTCTAGAAGCCTTGAGGAGGAAGTAGAAGCCATAGAGACCAACAGCTCGAGTGTAGTGCTGCAGTCCCTATAGCACAACACATATATGCACACATGCCACTACCATCACACTTCTGCATTTTATAGGTATTTCATTGTTTCTTACGGCAAATTTCCCACGAGTGCGAATAAATCCTAATCAAAGCTGTCTGTCTGCCATGCTGTCTGCAGTTTGACAAATTAAAATAAGTTCATAGAAGCCCTGGGACTGGCCGTAAGACTGGGTGAAAGACAGGCTAAACACTTGGGTCACTTTTAGCAATATAAATGCAAATCTGGTTTGGAAAATGAAAGCAGAAAAGACAGAATACTGCACCCCCTCCACTATCATTCCGAAACGGATGCTGTGCTTGGAAAAGTCAGTCATGTGCATGTCACCCCCGCTGTGGATCTACGGGAAAAAGGAGGAAGCTGGAGTTGTGGAACTGGAATCCATGTGTTGTTTTAACAGCAGCAACATACCGACAACGATTCAGTTATGATTCGGCACAGTTACTGATTCATTACCACAGCACAGCTTAAAGGAGTCACCAATTCAGTACCACAGCACAGTTGAAATGTGTTATACTGTTAATGAATCAGTTATGATTCTGCACAGGTACTGATACATTACCACAGCCCAGTTAAAATGAGTCACTGATTCAGTACCACAGCACAGTGGAAATAAGTCATACTGACAATGATGCAATTATGATTTAGCACAGTTAAAATGAGTCACTGATTCAGTACCACAGAACAATTAAAATGAGTCACTGATTCAGTACCACAGCCCAGTTAAAATGAGTCACTGATTCAGTACCACAGCACAGTAAAAATTAGTCATACTGACAATGATGCAATTATGATTTAGCACAGTTAAAATGAGTCACCGATTCAGTACCACAGCACACTTAAAATGAGTCACTGATTCATTAACATAGTACATGACTAATTGATTCATTACCAAATGAGTCATACTGACAATGATTCAGTTAAGATTCAGCACAATACTATTCATTGCCACAACACAGTTAAAATGACTCACTGATTCAGTACCACAGCACAGTTAAAATGCATCAGTGATTCATTTACACAGTACAGTTAAAATGAGTCATACTGAAAATGAGAATCAATTATGATTCAGCACAGTTAAAACAAGTCAGTGATTTAGTACCAGAGCAGTTAAAATGACTCACTGATTCATTACCACAGCACAGTCAAAACGAGTCATACTGACACAGATTCATTACCACAGCACAATTTAAACAAGTAACTGAATCATAATCACAGCACAGTTAAAATGAATCATAATGACACTGATTCAGTATTTGGCTTAAGTGAGCCAAACTGACACTGATTATGAGTCACTGATTTATTCCCACAGTTGCACTGATACTGATTCATTACTATAGCACATTTGAAATGAGTCATACTGAGACTGATTCAGTTCCACAGCACAGTTTAAATGAGTCATACTGAGACTGATTCATGACCACAGCACAATTCAAACAGTTTCAGCACCTCAGTACAGTTAAAATGAATCATAGTGATGATACCCCAACACCCCCTTTATTTCCTCGCTAAGATTAGCCTCAATACTTTAGTAAAGCAGGCACAGATTAGCTGTGGAGACTCACAGAGTAGTAGTGGTTGGAGAAAGTGAGGAGAAGCCATGAGGGAGGAAACACATTGATCTTCTGTATCTCCTTAACGTGGTTTCCTGAATAACACAAAGAGAAACAACATTGAAGGAGCATTCTGGTACAAAACTGGTATTCAAGTGAAGTTTTTGCACCCTTCAATATTCACTCATTTCCACCATCAACATGCATTAAAACCAATACATCATACAACCACTTAGAGGCCCTGGCATCATCAACCAATCAACTAGTTCCTTATTTTGGCCGTTAAGAGACTAGTAGTGATGTAGCAATGCTAGAAGATAGCAGTGCTAATGATGAGCACTGGACTGAGCTTTGAGGTGCTGCAGGGTTTCAGCACTCTGGCAGAAGTGATGGTTAATAATCAGAGGCAGGGGCATCACTGGAGACTTATGGATGGGGGCTACGCCTTTACTAAGGGGGTCTGCAGGGAGCAACCCCAAGGAAGATGTTTTCAATGGCCCAAAAATGTTTGCTTATCATGAAACACAGAAGATCCGTTCCCTCATAGCATATTAAGAACAGATGTTTCTCGACTTAAACACTACTAATATCTGTTCTAGCTAATACTGGTGTGATTGTTTTGAAATACTTAATAGAAACATGATAAATAATCTGTGAAATTTCTCAAAATTCTTAAAACAGTTGGCTCTTCAGCTAGCTAATGTTCATGCTTTATGGCCTAACAACTTTTCTTTACCTCATGCTAACTTGAAGTTAGCTTGCTAACAAGCAACTGGCTAAAAACATGATAGCCAGCTATACTGACCACAGCCAGACTGTATATTATATATTTTGAAAAAGGCCTAATCTTTATTTTAGTATGATTTTAACTAAAACTCTGTCACAACGTTAGCGGCTGCCGACTGATGTTACTTAGCAGAGTGAGTAGGACAAGAGCCCCTCCCCCAGGTCTGATAGGATTGGCTTACAACTTACAAGGTCTGATATGATTGGCTTACAGCTTACATGGATTGATATGATTGGCTGAGCCAGTGTTCGACTTTTTCCCAACGCTAAACAGCAGAGGATCGCTGTTTAGGTTGGACAAGCCTTACTTGCGCTCAATCAATTGTCTGCAAAATAATGACTGACACTCCCCTCAGCCAATCACTATCAGCTCTAAGTGCTACTACCCACGTCAAGCTAATGGAAAACTCTGACAAAGGCCCTCGCAACAAACCTGCAGTGAGAATGGCGGTGGTTTGATTTATTAGACTAAGAAATGGTGGAAAAGTGTCCTGATGGAGGGTGGGACTGTTTTTATTTCATTCCTGAAGCTGAAAAGGTTTAGAAATAAACTCTGAGGAAGACCAAACTTACATCTCAATGACAAAAGTATTATACAGCGGAGGATCGCTGTATCCCGTTGTTATGTTAGTAAATCTCTGGTAGCACCACCCGGTTCGATCCCTGCTATCACAGTATATTGTAAGTTGAGAGATGCAATGGCACAGCTGAGTAATGAAGAACAAATCCAAAATACTGTTGATGATTTAAAGTGATAATGTACATACATTTGGGGGGGCTTGTTAATATTTAGAGGAGGCTAAAGCTACCCTAAAACTGATTTAGCGATGCCCCTGATCAGAGGAGTTGAATCAGGACTGTGATCTGTGCAGTGCTCAGGCTTCCCAGCCAGAAAGAGAAAGCAAGGGGGACAGAGGACTGGACACAGGATGTGTCACTCTGCCTTTCCCCAGAATCACTCCGCTTCCAAGAACACCACGTCACTCTGCATGTGTCCAAACGCACGTACAAAACCCTCCAAAAAAAACAAAACACAAAAAAAGGTCAGTGAGAGTGTGCGCACATGCTCTGGAGTGTGTGTTTTTATTAGCTGACAGTGTTATCAGTGTTTTACTGTGAGAGGGGAGTGTTTGCATCATTACCCACACACAGTTCAGGAGGGGGAAGACCTGGAAGATACACAGCTGTATTCACAGTAACAGTGGAAATCCATCTGTAATAAATAGTGTGCGGCCTTTGAAAGCTGTTCTAAAACTGTGGAAAAACGCTCTTCTAATGGACCTGTCTAAGTTCCGCCCACTTGTTTCATAGCTACTGTTGCTAGGTTGGACAAGCCTTACTCGCGCACAATCAATCGTCTGCAAAATAACGCCTGACACTCTCCTCAGCCAATCACAATCAGCTCTAAGTGCTACTCCTTTTGTCAAGCAAACGGAAAACTCTGACAAAGGTCCTCGCAACAAACCTGCAGTGAGAATGGCGGTGGTGAAAGACCCACATGAAGATGTACCTGAATAACCATCCACTTCAAGCATTTCGAGCAGAAGTACAAGCACAGAAAGATTTCAGAACTTCTTGGCTTCAGGAATTTGCGTGACTCAGATATGGCAACCACAAAGCAGACTATACCGTGAATTCTGTCCGAAAGCCGCCAAAGATGTAGCTGGAAAAATTGGATTTCTTAAATTCAGCACAGATTACATTATAGCACGTAAACAACTACCCTTCACCAAAGTCATCTGCCAAATCTTGTGAATGAAAAATAGCGGACTGGATGTGTCAAGAATCAGGCACGGGTGAAGGCAGAGATACTTAAAGGGGAATTCCACTGATTTTTCAAAAATTTAGAGTCATGTCTTTACAGTGAAACCAAGACTGATGTCTACAGTGCAAACATAGCCATTTTATTTACTATCCAAAACCACCAGAGAACCTACACAAGTTTTTATGTAATGCTGTTGATGGTAAAACAGTCTTAAATCTGAAAATTCTTTGGGGACTATTTTACCTTAGAATACCCTTCATGTATCCCTCCACCATGAATGGATTAAAATTAATTGATTAAAATACATTTAAACCAAAACTTTATCACAAAGTTGCTGTAAAACAATGTCTCGGACATCAGGCAGTTTATTTATAAGCATTGCACATAATAACTTTCTGGGAGGAAGCTTTTAGGGACATTTAACTCCTTGGATGTCTGATTCCTATCATCACTGTGAACAATCCTGACTCTGTAAGTCTCTCTAGACACAAAGCATTTCATACCAAACCACTCTGCACACAACACAATCCAAAAGGGGTCAGGCAAAAACAGGTGAGTCAAAATACAGAGGATAAGTCAAAACCAGAAAACACAACACAGGAAATAAACACTCAGTAGCTCTAGAAAGAAGCAATACCTCGCACTGAACTGTTCTAAAAGCCCGGGCTTTATACTAAAGCTAATGAGAGGTCACAGGTGTAGCAGATCAGAACTCAGGAGAGAGAGATCTGTGATAGGAGCATGGTGGAGGGTCAGGAGTCATGTGATCTCCCAGAGGATTCTGGGAGATGGAGTCCAGGGAAACCTCTGAGCCATAGGGATGCGTGACACTTACATACAGAGATTTCTCTTTACTGATTCTTTACCACAGCACAGCTTAAAGGAGAGCATCTTTTAATGATATTATGTACCGTAGATGATGAAAAACAAAAGTTCTTTGCTATTTTACATTGAGAAATGTTATTCTTGAATTGTTGCACTATTTGATCGTGCAGTCTTTCACAGAGTGGTGAACCCTCCTCATCTTCACTTCTGAAAGACTCCGCCTCTCTGAGATGCTCTTCAGCCACCAGGTGTTTTTGTAGCATTACACAACTTTACCAGCCTTTTGTTGCCCCCGTCCCAACTTTTTTGGAACGTGTTGTTGGCATCAAATTCAAAATGGGCAAATATTTTTCCAAAAACAATAAAATTTCTCAGTTTCAGCATTTCATATCTTGTCTTTGTACTATTACGAATGAAATATAGGGTTTAAATGATTTCCACATCATTGCATTTTGTTTTTATTTACATTTTGCATTTTGTGTCCCAACTTTTTGGAAATGAGGTTGTACTTATGACAGTTGTAAGGTTAACAGTTGGACCTTAAAACCACTGTTGTACCGTTGAAGGAAAATTCACATTGTTTGTACCTTAATGAATGAAAAACATCCCTGCACAGAACCTTTATTACTAACAGTGTAGAGTGAAAAAGACACTGAACTGGGGTGATGTGGTTTATTATCACGATAGTGTGTTTGAACAGTGCAGTATGCCTTTCTGTGGAATGTGAGTGTGACTCACGCTCGGTGATGCCATGCAGACGAAGGGCCTGGAAGAGAGGAAGGTACATTTGGCCCACAGGCTGCTCCAGAAACACCCCTGCAGGCCTGAGAGAGAGAGAGCAAACAATCATCTCATCAGTACCACCATATTCTTATAAGAAAGCATACAGTACAGTGCAGAAGTCACTTTTTTCAACATCAGAAAAAGAGCAGAAAACATATTTAACAGTAAATTACACAGAAGCCTCAACAGCTAAATATGTATTTAATGTGTATTTAAGTATTTAATGTGTCCACTCTTTATTCTTTTCAGGAGTCTTGTTTTCATTTCTCAAAGAAATCTGCAGCGATATTTTTCCACACCTAGCATTTTCTGCGTCCTATATTTAGTGATGTTGAGGTCTGGACTCTGGGGTGGTCAGTCCATTGTTCAGCTGCTTTGTTTGATGTCTCCTTTTCTCAGTGAGGTTCTTCTTGAACAGCTACACATCCTTTCAGACCCATAGCGCTGAGTCGTCTTCTCACAGTGGAAGCATGGACAGAAACACCTGTGGATGTTTTCAGATCTGAAGCAGCTTGATTTTCTCCTCTCTCTCAAAGATGAAAGCTTTAAGTGCTGTTTATCTGATGGGGGCAGTTTTGGTGTCTACCAGGTCTTCCAGGTGGTTGTTAGGAATCCAGTTTTCTCTGAAGCTTCCAGTTTTGGAAGCTTATGTTCTCAAAACTCATCTCCTCAGAAATATCTCCTGACAAATGAATAACTTGGACTTGTTGGCTGTTTTTACTGGAAGATAAATTCATAAAGGATGGTCTGAGACTTGTGAAGGACTGGGCGTACTGGTGTGAATGTTGAAGGTGCAGTGAGGTGTATACCTGCAGAAGAAGCTGCTGACTGCACTATGTGAAGGTGGAGTCTGTTCTGTGGTGTTTAACTGCAGGTACGTCCAGTTCAGGACCGTCTTCAGTAGATCGTATTCATTGACCGCAAACACTCTACGCAGAGAAATGGACCTGATTCTCAAAGCGCAAACTACAGCTTAATAATCCATTCCTAATGTTTTAACTTTAATTATGTACTGCTTTATTCTATCAGTCAAAAGTTTGGACAACATCTGATTGTACACTACTGTTCAAACAGCCATGTCATTTTATTTGATATATTTTTAAATGTATGTACAATGATAACATAAATAACATACATTTAATTATAATATATTAGACACCAAAAAGTATTTTTGTTGACAGAACCAACATATTAGATTTATTTTATACATTTTATCTGCAGATTGGTGTATTATTACTGACGTTTGACCAAATGTTTGAACAGTAGTGTATTTTTATAACGCTAAAGAATTTAAATAGCAAAATTGACACATGAACCAATTTCCAACACAAACTAAAGGTTTTTTACTATAGAACTTTTACTTTAGAACTGAAATTCTGAATCATTCCATATCTATCTATCTATCTATCTCTGTGCATATATATGTGCATGTATATATGCACATGTAATATATTTATATTTGTATATATATATATATATATATATATAGAGAGAGAGAGAGAGAGAGAGAGAGGGAGAGAGAGAGAGAGAGAGAGAGAGAGAGATCCTTTACACTGTAAGTTAAAAAAAGTTTTTTTAAGGGTTTTTAATAGTACAAATCAGGAGAAATCTTTCTATGAGGAGGTGCGTCTAAACTTTTGACTGGTACTATATACATTTCGGTACTGTAGCTATATTAGCAGCAGTCAATAACCGATCATTAATCATATTAATGCAGTTAGGCACGATAGCACTCGTACACTGAGCTGACCTGGGGCATCGCAGGGTTTTGAGCAGGAGGTCAAAGGGCAAGTCCCTGAGGCCAATCTGATGTGAAAGTTCAGTGACCAGAAACAGCTCCAGCCAGCGCTCACACGCACTCTGGAGAGTCGTCTGATTGTGCTAACACACACACACACACACACACACACACACACAGAGGTTTGTTTTTATACATACGTCCCATGTTCATTATATACATGTATACCTACATGCAATAATAAAATTTCCCATTTGTATTATATTTTGTCACTGTCAGAACAAACTATCTAAACAAATACTTTACAGGATGAAGAAAACATGTTCTTAACTGTCAGTGTCAATGAAACAAGATTTTAACTTCTATAATGGTGGAGCTTTTCTGTTGGCCAGTTCGTCATGAAATTTGTCTTTGCAAAATTTATAAAAATGAAAAAACACAAATGGCGATACGAGGTTTTGCTCAACAGCGACAATATGCTAATGGCTATGCATGATATGTCTTATATGCATTATGTAAGTACTTATATGAAATGATGATATTCACATATATATTTCGTTGCTGTCAGAGCAAAACCTAGTACCTCTGTTTTTGTTGTTTTTTAGTGTGACATAATTTGAAAATATCTTCTGTCCTTTATATTGTGTGTAAATCTCATGAGAAATGGACCAAAATAAGTTGACTTACATTAAAAGTATGCTTTTAAAGTATGCTCCCCCCCCCCCCAACACACACACACACACAGATGAAAAGAGAGAGAGAGTGATGCAATCCAGGCGGGAAATGAGAGAACTGCTTCCCCCTGCTGGTCATTTGGGGAAATGACTCCCAACATTAATGTGTGTTTGTGATGTGGGTGAGATTTCAGTCATAGTGGTCAGATCAGTGTGGGGTTACGTTAGGTTGTTATACTCTCGTGTGTCTTACCTTGCAAGCAACTCGATGGAAGTCACACACCGTCGAAGAAGTGATATTAACCATCATCTCATTCAAACACCTGCCAATCAAAATGCATCTGTCAGTAACTCAAGACAGAAAGCCATTATTTCCTTTGTGACCAAAAATGGGAGCAACTGTTCCTGCAAAAGAGCTTAAATATTCATCTCTGGTGCGTTGACTTCAAGTGAAATGATAAGAATCAAGTAAAGAGGAATCTGAACTCATAGATCAGGATTTATTTCTCACATTTAGCAACGGGCAAGATCACAAAGAGTTGACAAAATTTTCACCCGCCTGGCCATTGATTGCACCGGTTGTACCTTCCTGTTATACTTCTGTAGCAATTCTACCTCCCCCCCACTAGGGGCAATATACAGGTAATACATCTGATTGCCAATAAAACATACTAATATAGAATACAGTCTACAATTATTTCAACCTCATTTGAACCTCCTACTTGTGTCTGATGTTTCCATACAGAGATAGTAAACTATTTATTGACAAATAAAGTGAGTCAGGCCTTACAATGACGGCGGCTACTGTTTTTAGCTACGCAATGTACTTTTGTCCACGTTTATAGATAACAGTGTGTCATACAGTGTCAGAAACCACATGATCAAGTCTAGTAGAGATTACTGAACATCTCCACATGATTTGATGCAAGCTTGTGATGATTTAGGATCATTGGTTGGCTTTAAGCTTCCATTACTTATTAGCAACATTAGCCTGGTAGCTCCAAACCAGAAACAAACCTCAGACACCGAACAGGTCTTGGCTGCTCCACTACATTTGGGGAAACCGTGCAAATCTGATTTTTGGCCCTGCCGTAACTTTAAGGGCAGTGAAAAATGTCAATGTATTTGTGCTTTAGTTTTACAGGCCGAACCCAGCTGGGTGGACCGCTGAAGACGTCAATCACGATGAGTTCACAGAACAGACAAGCTTACGACACATTTCGTGACTGAATGTAGAGAACTGAGGCCAAAACCGCTCCCCAAGCCCACCTAGGCAGGACTCTGTGAGTCAGCGTGTGGGACTGGACTGCACTCTGTTCTCGTGAGACCCAGGCGTGGACTTAATGAAGCAGGGGCGTTGGTTAGTTAACATGATGTAGTTAACACGCACACACACGCACGCACACACACACACACACACATATATATATATATGTATATATATATACATATATATATATGTATACACATATATATATATATATATATATATATATATATATGTATGTGTGTGTGTGTTTGTGTGTGTGTGTGTGTGTGTTGTATATTTACATAATAGTACTTGTGAGGAGCTAAATTCTTAATTAGATCAATTTAATCATTGGTGTGATCCAGACGTGCTTAACTCTAAGCATTCTCTGACCCCATGCCTAAACCTGGCCTAAATCAAAATCACCCCACAATTATTACTGTGACATTACAGATTCACACTGGATTTAAATCACTTGATATTTATGACTGTCAGACTGTGGAAATTACACACACTGCAGATTCATACTGGATTAAAATCGCTCCACAATTATTACTGTCAGACTGTAAACACTACATTCATACTGGAACATACATAAAACTAAGCAACACCAGGGCTTCAGATGAGGAGCTGATCCTTGATGAGAGCATAAGGCAGCACTGTCTGTGCACTCACCTCTGGTAGAGCTGTGACATGCCCAGCATGGTGGCAACAGAGAGCAAGGCCCCCTCCCACCGCTCCGGACACTCCGCTGGCCTATATAGGGTCCGCAGGGCAAAGGACAGAGCTGGGCCAGAGGGCAGGGAGAACAAAAGAAGCAAGGAGAGTGAGGGTCACTGCTCCCATGCAAATACAACATCTTGACCTTAAACTAGTTTCACAAAAATGTTTTGGCCTAAAACATATTTTAAATCCATTCATGGTGGAGGAGAACATGCAGGCAAAATAGTTTCAGATTTTCCACTATTTTACCATCATCAACATTCCATATAAAACTCAGGAGACGCGTGTAGGTTCACTGGTGGTTTTGGATAGCAAATAAAATGTCTATATTTGTGTTGTAGTCATGGCGACCCCTGGTTCCTATCAGCACCACTGTAAAGAAATCTGAGTCTGTAAGTTTCTCTACAATGAACCATTTCACATCAAATCTGAGTTGCTTTATTTACATGACAATGATTAAATTTTGCAGATGCTTTGAAAGTTATTGGATTATTCCCTTTTAACGTGGCCATCTTCTGAATGCTGAGCTATGCATCCCGCTTAGTGTCTTGATTGTATCCATTGCATCTGTGTTTATAGCAGGACACAGTTACAATGGCTTTTTGTACAAGAAAAATAACCAAGAATGAGTCTCACATGAACATAAGGTGCAAAAACAAGCACATTTCAATCATAGAAATGTGCGATTGCCATTAACTCCTATATAACATCGTCGCTGTCCAATGAAAAACATGCATCTCCATTTTTGCGCTTTTTACTTTTCTGCATCATTTGAGCTCAGCAGCTGTCCTTTACATTATGTAAAAATTCATGATGATTGGACCAATAGAAATGCTCCAAAATTGCTTAGAATAACACCTCTTTCCATTGACTTACATTGAAAGCAAAGAATATTTTTGCCCTCTACTGTAAGTTTAGACTTTTGGGGATACTTGTTTTCCTTTGGACAGTGATGATATATTAGTTCCACCTGATAAAACCAGATAGTTCTGGTTCTAAAATCTGATTGGCTGAGCTGCATTCAAAGCCATTGTAAAATCCACAATATACGCACACCTACGACTGCCTCACAACAACTGAATTGTATATTACTAGGCCACGGCATGAAAAACCCTTGTGTTGTTAATGGAATACTCTAAGACTTTCATGGACCACAGAGTATAGTGATGAAGTAAGTACATTTTCTGTTTATACTGAGGGGCTGGCGACTTATGTTCTTAACTAGAACTAGGCTAAACAACCCAATCATTAATAACTCAAACTTGAATTACAGTACTTATGATACGATTAACTGTAAAACGGCAGTATAAAAGATATAAAAAATATCACTTGAATGTCTCACATGCTTCACATGTTCGCATTTCAGTCAGAAGTCGTGTCAAACCCAGGCTGAATCCCAAATGGCTCTGTACTCCCTAAATATTGTTCTAGCTATGAAAGTTTAGATATTCTAGCCTCTCCAGCCAAATAGTGCATCATTTATCGAGTGTGGATGTGTCTGAATCCCAAATGACTGTTTATTAGCTGTATTTTGCTCTGTTGGGCTGCAGGATCCAGTATTTTAATACCTATGTAGTGCACTATGTAGGGAGCAGGGAGCCATTTGAGATTCAGTCCCAGTAGTAACACACAACCAACTGGCATATTGCTTTATTTGATACTGAGTCTAAAAATTAATAACGGATCCATAAGCTTAGGGTTCAATAGATGAATAGTGTATAAATTCAGTATCATAGTGGTGGATCTGAATGTTACCCTCTTTAGTGATGGAGGGGTCGCGTACAGGCAGCTGGAGCAGGATGGGGCGTCTGAGGCTTCCTCTGCTCATCCCCATCCCTCCATCCTCTCTCAGCATCCGCCCCCAACGTCCAGCGCTGCCACACCACCCGCTGGACGGCGCTGTCCGGCTGCTGCCTGTGAAACCACCACAACGCCACAGCCAGTTACGTCCTGCTCTCAACTTTACTTTCACAAACAAGCGAGGCCTGTTTTTTGGAACTGTATTTCAATTCATCTTAATGGGATAGTTAGAAACAGAAACCATAAGCAAGTCAATTAGACACTATTTAACAACTTCACAGGGTTTGAAGCGATTCAGGCAGGCAGTTAGCGGCATGCTAATTGGTGGGGAATAGGGGTCCATCACTTGCTAGCTGCATTAGCTTCGTAGTGCCATCTTAAAAAGAGGCAGACACCAAAAGGGTCTAGGCTTATCAACCACGTCTGGGATTAGAGGGAAAACAGTTTTTTGATTTTTGGCTGAACTATTGCTTTTAAAGGGGAATTGCACCAACTTTTCAAAATTTTGCATAATTCAGTGGTTAAAATGTAAAGGAACATATTCAGAGTGGATTGATGTGAAATGGTTAATTGTGGAGAAACGTACAGACTCAGATTTCTTTACAGTGGTGGTGAATGGAACCAGGCGTCACGATATCTACAACACAAAGCCATTTTATTTACTATCAGTGAACCTACACATGTCTTCTGAGAAATGTAATGCTAATGATGGTAAAATAATGATAAATCTGAAAAAGTAAGGTTTCTTTAGGGACTATATTGCCCCATAGTGCCCTGCATGTATCCCTCCACCACGAAACACATGAAAAAAAAAAACATTTTTCAGGCCAGAACCTTCTTAAACCTACCAGAAAGCAAAGTCTCAGACATCAGTCAGTGAATTCATAACCACTTCATGTAATAGCTTTCTGTGAGGGAGCTTTTAGAGGTGGACTTCAGTGAACAACACTGACTATGACTTCGTTTACAGCTTAACCACTTAATTATGCAGAATTTCTGAAAATTGGTGGAATTCCTCCTTAATACTTCTGATTTCTAGGAGCTGGGAAATACATATATGTCCATCCATCCATCATCTAAACCGCTTATCCTTCTGGGTCATGGTGGGGTGCTGGAACCTATCCCAGCTGTCATTGAGCGGAAGGCAGGATACACCCTGGACAGGTCGCCAGTCAATACATATATGTATTTTATTTTTACTTAATAGAATCATCATGCTTGTTGCATTCAAACTCTGTAAGTATTGCAGTAATACTCTTATTTCTATTAGGTTTGGTTATAAACAAAGGGGATCAAATCTTGAAAGGCCCAACAGAAAGTTATCCAATCAGTTGTTTCCTCTGTGGTGTCTGGGTAGATAGGTCAGGACTTCAGGAGCTGAACTAAAGGCCTAACAAGTTAGATAAACTACCAACATAAGTGGAAAGTGACAGAGGAATCAACCAACCATGTTTTGATTTCCAATTTCCAAATGGGACTAATTTTGTTTCAAGAACATCACTCTAGGCCTTCTCGAAGTTCTAGATACATCACTGACTGTGAATATGAGGCATAGTCTGAACAGGTAATACGTTCAACATGGCGTTTTAACATGAATTGCACGATATATGAAACAGAATCGTAGATTATAGGTGATTTAAATATTGTGCCTCACAGAAACAGTCACTCATCTGTTTCAGTGAAACAGCCAAATTAAGGTGGAGCAATATATGGAAATATTTCAACAATAAGGATGATAGATTTGTTAACAGTACGATTTGTTTGAGTTTAGACATGTGTAAACAAACCGTGATGTTCAGAAATCAAGCTTTGCTTCCCAGAAAACAAAAAAAACGGGACACTGAGACTAAAAGCTCTTAGACTAAAACATAATAATTAATAATAATTAATCTGTGTAGAATGATCCTGTACATAGGATCAATGCAGTATAGTTAAAAAGGTAACACTTTACTGTAGGGTGCTGTTCATAAGGTTACATGACACCTACAAAAGGTTGTCATTACAACTGACATAACCCTTCATAACTGTTTATAAATGCTTGTTCCAATAAGCGCCATTTGCTATAAAGGTTACATTTGCCAATTTTGATCAAAGTCAGCTAAAGTAGCCTTTATGACAGATGACTATAAGCATTTATAAACAGTTATGTAGGGCTATGTCAGTTGAAATGACAACCTTATGTAGGTGTCATGTAGCCTCATGAACAGCACCCTACAGTAAAGTGTTACCGTTAAAAACTATAAATCTTCCTTATTTGCCTTATTTGTTAAAAATCTGTTGTTTTTTATGCCAAAGTTAAAAGATTAAGCTGGTAGAAATCTTGTGTTGAGATTCCTCAACAATAATCATAAATATCAATAATAGGTCATCCTAAAAACTCTAACTGGCCACCTTTTGTGTTCTACACATTTAAAAATAATGGTTCTTCAAGGGTTCTTTAGTAAAGAAAATGACTATATATACATCCATGAACACTCAAAGAATCCTTTGCATGATTTGCATTGTGAAATGGTTCTTCAGATTGATGGAGAATGTGCTGTAGATGGTTCTACATAGCACCAAAAAGGTTCTTCTATTGTAACAATCCTGACATCATTATAATAGAATTACTGTTTTTGGTGCTATATAAATCAAGAGTTCTTCAAGTAAAGAAAATGGTTCTGTATAGAACCATTAACATACATAGAACCCTTTGCATGATTACAGGGTTCCTTGCATCATGAAAGGATTCTTCAGATTGATGGAGAATGTGCTGTAGATGGTTCTCTATACAATCTTTTTGTACAAGGTTCTATGTAGTACCAAAAAAGGTTCTTTTATTCTAACGATGTCAGGTTTGACACAATAGAAAAACCTTTTTAGGTGCTATATAATTCAAGAGTTTTTCAGTTAAGAAAGTGGTTCTATATAGAACAATGAACACTCAAAGAACCCTTTGTATGATTAAAGGGTTCTTTGCATTGTGAAAGGGTTCTTCAGGTTGATGGAGAATGTGCTATAGATGGTTCTATAAAGAATCTTTCTGAAAAGGGTTCTACACTCTTAAAAGTGATGGTTCCTCAAGGCCTCTTTGACAAAGAAAATGGTTGTACATAGAACCATGAACATTCAAAGAACATTTTAGTGTCATTAAAGGATTCTTTGCATCGTGAAAGCGTTCTTCAAAATGATGGAGGATGTGCCATAGATGGTTCTATACAGAACCTTTTTGAAAAGTGTTCCATACAGCACCAAAAAGGGTTCTATTGTTATAATGTCAAGCTTGACACAATAGAAGAACACTTTTTGGTGTTACATAGAACCCTTTTCAACAAGGTCTTATATAAAACCATCTACAGCACGTTCTCCATCAGTCTGAAGAACGCTTTCACAAGACAAAGAACCTTTAAATCATGCAAAGGGTTCTTTGAGTGTTCATGAATCTACATAGACCATTTTCTTCACCAAGGAACGCTTGAAGAACCATCTTTCTAAGAGTGTATATAGCACCAAAGTGGGTTCCACTACTACTACAAGCTAAAGAACTCTTTTTTGGTACTACATAGAAACCTTTTTGCTAAGAGTGTAAAAGAGTGTAAAATAAATGGCTCTTCAAGGGCTCTTTAGTCATGTAGGACCATGAACACTCAAAGAACCCTTTGCATGATTTAAGAGTTCTTTGCATTGTGAAAGTGTTCTTCAGATCGATGGAAAATGTGCTCTAGATGGTTCTATATAGAATCTTTTTGAAAAGATTTCCATGTAGTACCAAAAAGGGTTCTTCTATTGTTATTATGTCAAGCTTGACACAATCGAAGAACGCTTTTTGGTGCTATATAGAACCCTTTTCAACAAGGTCTTATATAAAACCATCTACAGCACGTTCTCCATCAGTCTGAAGAACGCTTTCACAACACAAAGAACCCTTAAATCGTGCAAAGGGTTCTTTGAGTGTTCATGAATCTACATAGACCATTTTCTTGACTAAAGAATCCTTGAAGAACCATGATGTCTATGCTAAACCTGTGCATCACCAGATGAGCTGCGTCTCTAACTGTACGCCGGCGAGTGCAGGCGGCTCCTCGTATGCAGGGAGGATTATGTTCAGTAATGTGATTTTGTAGGATTAGTTATCGTATTCACAGCCCGAGCTGTGAAAATGTGCTTTTTTAATATGATTATCTTGTTTTTGTATTCTTAGACGCTCCCAGTAAATGAGCTCCCTTGAGCACTTCGAGTCTGGAGAGCTTAATAATTCATGGGAACGTCTGCGGCTCTGCGTGCTGCAGCTTACAGGGAGAGCGAATGTTGGGCTGCGCTGGTTTGAAGGGTGGAGATGGGGAGCTGAATCAAACGTCTGATTCAGTGATCCACTGATTCACAAGTCAGTTGAACTTAATTCTCCTGCTCTGCGATGAGAGTCAAGTCAGCGCGGGGGTCTAATGGAGTTCCAAACTCATAAAACAGTTTATCGAGGAAACATTTGGAACGGCAAGATGGTTCTTCCTTAACGTGTTACAGCGTGTTCGTTCATGTTGTGATTTTGTGAGGTTACATTGTGAAAGATTTCAATTTTGTTGCATCTACTGTCTAATATTTCTCATACTCATTTTAACTAAAATGTTTAGAAATAAGTTAAATAATCAGTACCCCTTTAGAATAAGACTACCTTTATAAAGCGTTTATAAATGGTTTAAAACTAGTTTATCAATGGTTATTAAGCAGTTATAACACACAACTAAAAGGGCAACAGTGATCTGTTATATGCCTAATAGTGAAGCCACATTCATTTATATACACACTTAAAATGATGGCTCTTCAAGGGTCCTTTAGTAAATAAAATGGTTCTATATAGAACCATAAACACTCAAAGTACCCTTTGCATGATTCAAGGGTTCTTTGCACCGTGAAAGGGTTTTTCAGATTTATGGAAAATATGCTGTAGATGGTTCTGTGTAGAACCTTTTTGAAAAATGGTTCTATATAGCACCAAAAAGGGTTCTTCTATTGTCACAATGTCAGTGGCGTTTTTAATAAAGTGGACAGAGAGTGGAAGCACAAGGTGGGTGTTGCTAATAAAGTGGCCAATTAGTGGAAGCACAAGGAAGGTGTTTCTAATAAAGTGGCCAGTAAGTGGAAGCACAAGGAAGGTGTTTCTAATAAAGTGGCCAGTGAGTGGAAGAACAAGGAAGGTATTTCTAATAAAGTGGCCAGTAAGTGGAAACACAAGGAAGATGTTTCTTATAAAGTGGCCAGTGCGTGGAAACACAAGGAAGGTGTTTCTAATAAAGTGGCCAGTTAGTGGAAGCACAAGGAAGGTGTTTCTAATAAAGTGGCCAGTGAGTGGAAGCACAAGGAAGGTGTTTCTTATAAAGTGGCCAGTGCATGGAAACACAAGGTGGGTGATTCTAATGAAGTGGCCAGTTAGTGGAAGCACAAAGTGGGCGTTTCTGATAAAGTGGCCAGTTTGTTTGTAGGTAATAGGTGGATCTGTGTATTGCCCGGATAGACAGGATCACCTGCTCTGCTCTGCAGCAGTATGTTCCTTTGCTTCTTGCAGTTCGCGTAAAGCTCAGCCAGCGTCTCGGATCTGGCCAGGAATGGGCCATGTAGCTCCCAGATGCTGCCCAAACACTCCAGCACTGCGTCTGAGGATGAACATGTGGCATGAGCGTTTGCTTGGGAGCTCGGCTCTGATCAGTGGTAAATGGAGTAAATAATCAGTGTTTGTTCTCTGTGCTGCTACCTGGTTTAGCGTTCTGGGTCACTTCCTGAGAGAGCAAATAGAATGAGTGCTCTGGAGAGGAGTGGACACCTGAACTGTGAATGACGAGGACAAAAAAACAGTATTATGTAAAGCATTTAAAAGTCATACACACACACACACATGTGTATATGTATATATGCATGCATATAAGTATAGAACAGGTGTTAAATATATTCAACTGTACCATTTTAGGATACATAAATACATGCTTAAATATGCACATAAAGGTCAGTATATTGAAAACTATGCCTATATGTAGATGATATATGTGCAATAGCATTCTTTGTATTAACTATTAATATAATATATTCAAAGGTTTGAACACCCCTGATAATATTACCTGTTGTGGTGCATATTTTTGCAAATGTTAGTGCTCAATTTCTTTTTTTTTTATATTAACATATTAGAACATAAAACATTAATAGGTGCCAAAACTTTTGCACAGGCCACATTTCATGCATTTTTTGTGTTAAAAACATGTGTTAAAATAAGCAAATAAACATTAACTATACATTAAAATGTGCAGAACTGTGTTCTCTGTAGAGGACATGTTCACTTATTTTCACTTAGAAAAACACCAAAACATGTCATTTGACCAGGGGCGCCTAAACCTTTGCATTTCTCTCATCCATCAAGCCTTTTGGTAAGAGTGTAAGGTGTAACTCAGTTTGAGTATGAAGTGTAGCGTTTTGATTTTTGAGATATTTAGGGTGAAGAACTACATATTATCTCTTACTTCAAGCACACTTTGCATTCACTCTCATTATATCATCTCCAGTTTTAGTGAATGGCTTTTCTGCAGAGTGAGCAGATCCAGACTCAAAATAACAGACTAACAGGCCCAGCTGGACTTCATCTGCACTCTCCCTCTTCTTTTGCTCTCTTTTGTCTCTCTCTCTGTTTTCTGACCGCAGCTTGTCTGGCCCCGGACCCTGCCACCCCCCCCACCCCTTCACTGAGCTCATTATCTTCAGAGGCCCTTCAAATTACAGATCATCCCCCTCTACTGTGGCACACAGCCCACTGCAGGCTGATAGCGTGTGGCCTGGCAGGCGGCCCACTTTTGCCCCCCCCCGGATGCTCAAACGCCCATGGCCCAGAAGGCAGGGAGCTCTGGCTGCAAGCCAGTAAATAATAACAACAATAATAATAATAATAATAATAATAATAAAAATAATAATAATAATAATACCAAAGTCCAGTGGTTTGGGGCATGTCAGTCAGCATGAGGGGTGGATTCAGGCTGGATGTGACATCACGTGTCCGAAGTGTCCCAGCTAGAACACACACAGTTTATAGTAAGTTTCTTTTCAAATAACCTAAATAAGCAAAGTACTTTCACCATTTTTGAACACAGATGATCATAAACATTACGTAATAAGTAAAACAATGAATACAGTTGAAAATAGTACTGTCCACAAGTCAGAGACCACTCTTCATTCATTTAATTTGCAGTCAAATGACCATTAAGTACAAATTATTCATTTTTCAGAAGATATTTCAAGGTAATCCACTTGCATAAGGAAGCAGAAAGTCAAAGTGAAAAACAGGAGTTTCCAAAACTGGAGTTCAAAAACTGATTAAAAGCTACTGAGAAAACTGGATTCCTAACAATCACCTGGAAGACCTGGTCGACCCCAAAACTGCCCCCATCAGATAAACAGCACTTAAAGCTTTCATCTCTGAGAGAGAGGAGAAAATCAAGCTGCTTCAGATCTGAAAACATCCACGGGTGTTTCTGTCCATCCTTCCACTGTGAGGAGACGACTCAGCGCTGTGGGTCTGAAAGGATGTGTAGCTGTCAAGAAGAACCTCACTGAGAAAAGGAGACATCAAACAAAGCAGCTGAACAATGGAGTGACCACCCCAAAGTCCAGACCTCAACACCACTGAATGTGTTTGATTACTTCAGAAAATGATCAACCAGCTTCTAAGACTGAACTTTGGAGGTGTGTCTGCAGATTCTTTGAGAAGCTGAAAGTGAGTCTCCTGAAAAGAACGAATGCTGTGATAAAGGTAAAGAGTGACACAGTAAACACTGAAAATTGTAATATTATATTTCGTTGTTGTGTAATTTTCTGTTAAACATATGTTGTTGCTGAAAAATGAATAATTTGTACTTAACGTCTGCTTTGAAATTTAAATAAATGAGGGGTGGTCTCTGACTTCTGTAATGTAATCACATGGTCATTTTGCCACTTTTCTATGCGTGTGGACACACACACACACACACACACACACACACACACACACACACAAACACACACACATGCAAACACATAAACACACTTGGCAGTGCTATCAAAAGCCAAACTGTCTGTTTTTCCTCCCTCTTTTGGCGCGGGTGAGTTTTTGTGTGATTATTCGGGCCCCTTAAACTCCGCATGCCTCGCCAGGCCTCTCCAGGTGCCCATCTCAGCCTGCTGCCAGCCTCATGGCACCAGGTTGGCAGGGCTGGCACTGATACGGCAGGGCCCAATGCCAGGCATGGACCCGCTGCCCTGCCAGCTTCTTCGCACACCACGGGACGTCAGACGGACAAAAACCAACATGGAGCAGGTTTACTGCTGGTGGTGTGGAGTGATGCTGCTATGAAGACTTTCACGATGAAGCCTATTCGAAGTTACTATTAAAGAAATGATTCCACTTAAAAAAGAAAGCAACCAGACTACCTTTAAGGGCAACTCCAGTGATTTTTGAAAATTTCTACATAATACAGTCATTAAGATGTAAATAAAGTTGTTCAGAGTTGGTGTGAAACGCTTTATTCTGGAGTCACATACTGTTCACAGTGCTAGTGATGGGAACCAGATATCTGAAGTGTTTAATGTCTCTAAAAGCTACATTACAGGCATTGGTTATGAATATACTGTTTGGTGTACATTATTTTCAGATAGAAACTAATAAACTCATGGTGGAGGGGAGCATGCAAGGTGTCAAAATAGTAATACATTATTTTTTTTCAGATTTTCCACTATTTTACCATCATCATCAGTGGCTTTAGATCGTAAATAAAATGGCTATATTTGTGTTGTGGTCATGGTGACCCCTGGTTCCATTCACCACCGCTGTAAAGAACTCTGAGTCCGTATGTTTCTCCACAATAAACCATTTCACATCAATCTAATGTAAATGATTGCATTCATTTCAATTTCAATGACTTTAATTATTCTGAAACTTTGAGTTATCAGTGGAATTTCCCTTTAATTACAACCAGGGATGTTTCCTTCTATTAGCAGCATAAGCGCAGGAAGCCAATGCTCATTTCTGAGGTTCAAATTTAAGTGGCTATCCAGCTAGTATAAAAGATAAGGCAAGGCAAGGCAAGTCAAGTTCATGTATACAGCACCTTTCATACACTGCAGTGCTAGGCTAACCTATTTTAAGTTGCTAACCAGCTAGCTAGTGTACACTCATCTATGAAAACAGTAGCCTAAAGGTCTAATATGTCGTAGGCTATGAACGCATATTCATTTTTTTGAATGGTAAAATACATTTTCTTTTCACTTTGAGACACAAGTGAACTGTGTACTTGCTTTCAAAGTGTATCTTAGACTTTTTGGATGTTTCACTGAGTTGAAGCATTTATTAAACTACTTCCTGATCAAAAAGAATGAAGTATTAAATTAACTCTTTCTCCTTTATGACTACTGAAAACAGCACAGGACAGCATGAAGTCTGTGGTCTGAGCTGGTCTGATGCTGGTTTAGCTGGTCTAGCCGGTCAGTGAGAAGCATGACCAGCATATCAGCATCCAACACACAACATACGCTGGTTTTGCTGGTGACCAGCCATGCTGGTCTAATCCATGCTGGTTTTTCTAGCAGGGTTGCTTATGAAATAATACAGCTATAGTCAGGAACCTACAAATAGAATAGTTAACTAGTTGGGGCTCCCAAATGTTCAGAAACTGCCCAAAGTACAACATTGATGGATTTGTAATTTCCAAAAGATTCTGAAATGATAATTTGACTAATTTTCTCTCTTTTACCTTTAATCCTTCACATTTAAGCCCACATTTTAGGGTTTTAATTTCATTCTCCTGTGTTTTTACAGGTACTGGACTGCTTTGTTGTGTTGCTAACAGCTCTTACTTTGGAACTTTAGCATTTTACTTCAAACCAAAAAGATCCCAAAAAGCGAAGAACAGAGCTGTACAAACCTCACTGTCTGTGCTGATAGTGCTAAGCATTCAGTTTGGACCATAAATATCAAAATGCACCCACAAAAGACAAAACAATACCTCTACTGTATTGCTAATTCCTGCTATCTAGTAGTATGTTAGCGCTAAGCTAATGACGATTCATATGAACATTTTTGGCCGTTATAGATTGAACATGTGTAACAGACATTATATGTATGTTATTTGGAAGTTGTAACAGAGATTAACATATATTTTACCTTTTAATAGTTTTACAGTGACTCCGTGAGTAAAGAGTCCAGCTGCTGCATTTTTAACAACTGACCGAAACCTGGTTAGGCTACAGCTCGTATTCACAGTCAGTGACATATGAAGAACTTTCAGAAGTGATGCATTTTCTCCTGAAATAGGTCTCAATAAGTATGTTTATATGCACTCAATAATCTAATCATAATCAGATTTCTGCAGTTATTCATTTATTCAAATGGTCACATAAACAGCACACTCTGATTTCTTAGATCAGAGTAAGGTCAGTAATCAGATTTGTCAGTGCATGTGAACTCTTACTCTGATTTCTTTCGCATTTCTCAGTCTGCGCATGTGGGAAAACAGACGGAAATAGGCAGCGATGTCGTGAAACACAGCAAAACACTTTGGGAGCGATGCTGAAACCAAATACATGCTTGACGAAATTAAGAGCTTAAATATTCTTCATCTTCTAGATGATGTATGTTCATATTTTCAGGTAAAGTGGCGCAATGTTTTAAAAAAAAAAGCCACGGTATGAAGTTAGAGTTTTACGTTAAGTTTACGTCACGGCTTCTTGCAAAGCAGAAATCCGATTACTGTCTGACTCGTGTAGACCAGGTGTTTCTCCATTATCTGATCACTCAGGTTCATTTAAACGCGATGATCGGATTACTGATAAAATCTGATTTTCTGTGATTATTAAGTGAATGTAAATGCACTCATTGTAAACTTGATTGATTTCTCTGTCACTTCCTAATTATGTTCGTAGTTAATCTACCGTGTAAGTCCAGCTCCTGAAGTCCTAACCAACGAGATCCTGATTTGGACAATTTTCTGTTGGGCATTTCAAGAATCTAACTTTTTATTTCCAACCAAAACTTGTATTGTATAAAGTATAGTACTTACAGAGTTAACATACAACAAGGATTATGTTTTTAAAAAGTGACAGAAATGTATGTTTGTACTTCACAGAAATCATTCAGTGTTCTCTGAAGGCCTAAAAAGCCTTGAGCGTTCCTCACTGCTGGAGGGGCTAAGAAGCTCTGCAGCACTTCTTTACTCAGTACTGGAGGAGTTGGGTTACTAGCTGAGTTATCAATCGTTTGAACTAACTAGGGGGAGGGATTTAGGCTCCTCTACCTGATCTCGTGGTCCGGTGGGTCAGGCTGACCGCTCTCTGCACCTGGGCCTGGCCGAGCAGGTCGCCAGCCAAGGGTCGCTCCAGCCTCCAGCGGTTGGTGCACCCTGTCTGTGTGCGCTGCCGGCTGGGCGGACCAGGTGTCACCTGCTGAGGACATGGTCCAGTAAAACCACTGTGAAACAGGGTCATCTATGAAAGAGAGTCTGGTTGGACTTACGTAGCATTGTCCCTCACTGCGTGGGTTGAGGCAGGCGCTTGGCATGGTCCTGCAGCAACTTACAATGGCCCAAACGAGAGCTGAAAGTTGGTTACCATGGCAACAGGCCTAAATACTGACTTATCCCATATTTAGAACAACAAGTCCAGCCTTCCTACGCTAGGATAGGCTGAAGTACGAGTTACCAACCAATCGTAGCACAGGAGGCGGGTAACTAGGAGCCAGTCTCATTCTTAATGCATGAAGGCTCAACTTTAAGGCTATAAACTCCTAAATTAGAGTGAGAAACATTTTAAATTGCCAAGAAAGCCAAAGCAGTGAACAGCTTGAAGGAGTTAGCACTGTTTCATTTTAGAAGAAAGACTCACCTGTTTAATGCTCAGTGCAGGCTTGTTTAGCCTCAAGCAACCTGGTTGCTAGGAGACAAGAAAGCACTTTATAAACACAGCTTGTGCATCGGTCCAGAGGTACTATGTAGTTGTGTAATAACTGTGTAATTATAGAAGCTGGCTGGATTATTGCCTGAGCCTAAAGCACATTAACTTAATGAAGCAATTAATATTTTATCTCAATTGTGAAAAACTTGTAAAGAGACTAGCTGTTAGCGTGAGTCGCTACAGCACGAGGAGCCTGAAACCGAACGTGTAAATTCTTATCATATGATTAGTATAATCCCACATTTTTTACACTATAGAATTTTGATATTTCTTTTTTTTTCCCAAGATATTTTATTTGGTTTCATCATAAAAATCAACAAACACTGTGACAATAGCCTACAATGTGACAAAACTCAGAATTCAAGAAACTTGTATTATAATATCATATATACATACTTATGTTTTTGTCCAAGTCTAAATACAACATGTCAGTTAGGATGTAAACATTTAAAGGGCAATTCTACTAATTTTTCTACATCATTACATGGTTAAGATGTTAATCATTCAGAGTGGTTTTTAGAGAAAAGTCAGAATTGTTCACAGTGGTGGTGATAGGAGCCAGACATCCACCTCTAAAAGCTCCCTCACAGAGAGCTATTAGATGAGATGGTTATTAATATGTTGTCTGACGTAAGAGACATTGTTTTACAATGATTTTGATAAAAGAGTTTGACCTAAAACAAATTTTTAAACCCTTTTATGGAAGAGGGGTACATACAGGGTAAAACAGTACCCGAGGAAAGCACTTTTTTCCAGATTTACCACCATTTTAGTATTATAAATATTACATAAAATCTCAGACATTTGAAGGTTAAACAAAATGACTATATTTGCGTTGTAGCCTTTCCTTGCTCTAATCACCACCACTGTAAAGACATCAGAGTCAGTAAGTTACTCTACAATGCACCGTTTTACATTAAACCACTCTGAATATACTTTGTTTACATCTCAACGACTGAATAGTACGGAAATTTTGGGGGAAAACGGTGGAGTTTCCCTTCGGACTACAATTATCATCAACATGGACAACATTTCCCAGCATGAACAATGAGAGACGTTCCCCAATGCCAGCGTTTGTAGGCCTGAGCGCGGTCTCTGATTGGTCAGAGTCGACCAGCGTGGGTGACGTAGTGAGTGAGAGGGCGCGGGAGGGGGGAGCGCGGATGGAGGCCGAAACAATCGGAGATAAAAATGTAGGTGGAAAGAAGAAACAGCGCGGTTTTAATTGATAACGTCCCGGGTCGGAGCGGCGGCTCAAACCGAGCTAGCGCTGCAGTTCGGTTCGCGGAGTTTGTGTTAAATCTCCGGAGGGAATAAATCCCGCCGTTTGTGCGGCGGGGCAGGCGCGCGCTGGCGGAGCGGCCCGGTCACGCGCTGCGAGAGGCTAATGCTAACAGCGCTGAAATCAGTCAGAGATTAAAGACTCAAATAAAACGGTATAATGGCCCAAAATTTGCCCTCAGACGTGAAGATTGGTGTCATCTGTGTCGTGTGTTAGTGATTAGTGTATGTATTTGATATATAAAACACGTTTATGTCATATTCGAGCCGGTGTGTTGTGAAGCTGATCGCTAAGCTAATGCTAAAGCTAACGCTGCTTTAAACAGCTAGATTAGCGACTGAAAATACCAATAAATGATCAGAATCTACGTTAAACGTTGAGATTTGATCCCGATTGTGGTCCGTTCGTGAACATTTTACGCGTGTCTCCTAAACGTCCCGGTTTGTTGTGCTAATCCCGAGGCTGAGGTTGGCTTCTTATACGAATTTCCCGTTCCACCTTAAACGGTGCGGCGCTCGCATTTTAGCGCCCGAGGCGCCAGAATGGAAGTGCTGCGGCGTTTAAGGTGGAACGGGAAATTGGGATAAGAAGCTAACTTCGGCTTCGTACGCTTGCTAATCGTTAGCAAATCAAAGTTGTGCTAAGTTGAGGGCCACAGCTGTTTTGTTTTCTCTTTTATTTTCGTTAAGTATTTGTCCAGGGTTTGGTCAATAAAGCTTTAGTGTTTCCTCAGCAGTATGAATGTAAGCAAGATCTGCGGACAACAAGCTAACGAGCTACAAACAAAAACAGGCTAAGGTGGTGGCTGTGCTAAGCTAAGCTAACGTTGTCTTCTCTGTGTTGCACTATTCGAAAACATGAGCCATAGAAATGACTGGAGTAAATGGGCGTCCATTGAGTGTTAGAACTTATTGTTGATGCTTTTAAAACCACAACAGTGTTAGAGATTTGCTATCACCTTCCTTGCTGGAGTTTAACCAAGCTGTTTCAGAACAGTTAGATAATTGTGATGTTTATTACTTTAGATGCGTGGAGTTGTGTGCTGGTATTGGGAGATGGGTGCTTCAGCAAGGGAAAAACAGTGACATTTGCTTTTTGTGATCGTCCTCTTATGTTTTATGTTGTATTTATGAGGTTATTTCATTTGTTTCTGTGATACATTTGAGATTTGGGCCTTATATGCTGCTTGAAATGAGCACAGTTTCTATAATTTTTTAATGAATTGTATTATATCAGTGCTCCTCAAAACTGGTCCCGGAGGCCCTGCACTTTTTAGTGATTTTCCTGCTTTAACACCCTCTCTTTAACTCTTTAACTAATTTATAATGGGCTGGTTTATCGTATCAGCTGTTGGATGCAAGGAAAACATTACAAAGTGCAGGCCACTGGGCCTTCAGTGCCAGGGTTGAGCTCAGTCTTATAACAAATTAGACCAATTCCTCTTTATTTGTATGTGTAATTAGTTTGGCATCCACTTTTACATTGTTATGCCAAGAAAGTTAAACTCTTTTAAAAGCTAAGGGTTGGCATATGACCTGGTAAAGGTCAAGGATAAAGCCCAGTCCTGGACTGTGTAGCCTTTCAGTTGAAAATCTCAAGTCAGAATTCTCTATAGCTTAGGACCAGCTATAGTCCCTCTGGGAAACCATCCCTCAAAGTTGCTAAATGATGTACTGAGTATAGTCTGTGACAGTGTAGATCAGTGGTCACTAACCTTCCTACTGGATATCTACATTCCTAAAGTTCTCATCCAACCCAAATCTAACACATCTCATTCAGCTAATCAAGAACTGATTAGATGCATGAGATGGGACCGATAACGGTTGGTGACCACTAGTGTAAATAGGCACATGTTCACATTCCCTGTTTTTCCTTCACAGAGAATATGAAACGGATGCCACAATGACGTCGAGATTTGGAAAAACCTACAGCCGTAAGGCAGGGGATGGGTCCTCCAAGTTTGATGAGGTTCTTTCCAACAAAAGGGCCACGCTCAGCACCAAATGGGGTGAGACTACCTACAAAGCCCAGCTGGGCTCCAAAAGACCTGGCCTGAAGGTGGATCAGGCTGATCGGACCAAGAGGCCCAAGCTCATCGAGGATGACGGCTCAGAAGACCCGTTTGGGTTTGACAGCGATGAAGAGTCGAAGCCGGTCACCTCTCGCAATGTGGCGCAGTCCAAAGTGTCCTCGGTTAGGCCGACCTCCACGGAAACATCCAGGGCCAGCCTGACTCTGGAGCCCAATAGCAGAGTCAGCCAACCGGCCAGCGTCGAAGCCGTGGCACCTAGCAGGACGTCGTCTGCCCTCAGCGGTGACAGGAGTGCCCATCGGGTGCCTGAGGATGCTGGGAGGTTTTTCAGCAGCTCCACAGGAGGTAAGCTCGACCTTGTGGCTAGCCATTTGGCAGACAAGATTTGTTGGTATCACTTCCCCTTTTGTTTTTACCACATTTGTCAGATTTTGCTTCATCCCCAGCACCCACTCCCATGGGATAGAGTACTGTTTTTTTCATGCTGTCAATAGGGCTTGGACTTGCTTCGTTGAATAACAAAGTGCTTTGTCTTATTTTACTCTGAGGACTCCTTGCGTACACCTGACTTGGTGGTTGAAACTGATTAAATGTCGCCCAAACTGGAGCGATTGAGAGGCTGACTGTTAAATAGGCTTTATTCTATGATCCCATTCTCAGTTTCTTGTCATAGCTTCATTTTTAAGACAGATTTCTAAACAAGATCCATCTTACAACTTTTCAAACCCAAACTCTGAATATTTGTACGCTGGATTATGTCCTCATGTGCTAGATAGTTTAACAGTGCGATGAACAGGTGTCTGTGTCATTTCTTATGTCACGTTGTACTTTGTTTTAAAAGTAACAGCTCTGCGCAGACACATCTAGCAAAGATAAGCCAGCTGTATAGGCAAGCTCAAGGCCCCACAAATCCTCGTCTTGTCTTTAAACCCGCCTGACACAGAATATCTGTCAGGCTCGGCTCAGAAACCTTGGAACGGCAGCAGTCTCCTCAGTGGCTCTTCAGGCGGTTGAGGAGGCACTCCTGTCTGTCACTGGTTTGTGTACCTGCTGGGAAAAGGGCTCTGTTGGAGTGACAGGTGGCTCGTGCATCACGGCCGAACACGGCCGTCGGGGAGCAACCGATGCATATGAGAACTCTCGGTGGCTCACGGTGACATTTCCCTGACAGGAAGTGGCATGTTTGGCAGCGTCACACTGGTTTGCCATAGAGTGAAACTC